AGCTCTGCAGTGAAATTAAATCGTTAGCAGAGGATAAGAACAAAAAAGGCCACTGTTTTCTCATCACATATTATGTACTGCTGTTAACCAACCACCAAATGCTGTAGAATGCGAAAACACAACTAATATTGTGATTTTGTCTTCTGATGCTGATTGCGACACAGGCGATGTTGCTGCTGGTGCTGATTGCTACCAATGCTAAGGGGCATAAAACTAAGTTCGGCCAGATTCCCGCGCATTCTGATGTTAAGAAACCCGATAAACTGCCCATTGCTGATAATTTACAATCGCCTCGCTCAACACCTGCTGCTGGCGACGTTGCTGGTGGTGCTGATGCACGAATTTGCCCTGCTATTGATGGTAGCTGTGGCGACGCGATTTCTTGTGGGTTCATTGATCAACCTGAATAACACTGACTCATTACTGGATCAGCTTTGCGTTCGTGTTGATGGGTCATCAACTTCTGGTTCTTTGTTTTTAGTTGCGTCGTATATTTCACCAAATAGTGTGGATAGCCTATAGAGAGCTCATGCTGACAACATTACGTGTTTTGTTCGCAAAACGATGGGGGACAATTTTATCTGTGTACTCGGCGATTTTAATCTAATAGTAATGTTAAGTGGTCAAATAGTTATTCTACCAATGGGCTTACTCCTACTAATCTCTCTTCCTTTCCTGAATCTTATCTTATTGATAATTTACTTAGTCTTTACCTATCGTAAATTAATAATTATGTAAACGAGCTCGATAGAATTTTAGATTTAGTTTTCATTTGTGATGGGGTAAATTACAACATTACCAAATGTCTTGCCCCAATTACAGCAGCAGGTCTGCATCATGTTGCGCTCATTCTTAACATGGAATTTTATTATTTCGCACCGACCACTATAGGTACCAATAATATTGCCTTCAATTACGCTCGCTGTGACTTTGAAGGCATTAACAATTTGTTCGCAGACCTGAACTGGTCCGACTTGCTCGACGACTTGGATGCCGACAACTGCTTTAACACCTTCAAGACAATTTTGTTTAAAGAAAAGAAGCTCAAAAATCAGCGAAATAAATATTACAACAAGTATAAATCAATCAATAGTCCGAGTTACTACTCAATGTACAAGCGGTTGTTAAAAGAGTTTAACTGCCTTGACAAGTTTCTCCACAAAGATTATGTCCTTAATTTCGAACTTAATATTAAATCTAACCCCAAAGCCTTCTGGAATTTTGTTAAATCTAAAAAGTCATGTTCTACTATTCGCTCTTCAATTTTCCTCAATAATAAATCTGCGGATACTACCGCTGATGTTGCTAATCTGGTCGCTGATTTCTTCAAATCCAATTTCGAATGTGATTTAGACACAAATCTTGATATTGGCCCCGCATCCGGTGTTAGTTCCTCATTTGGCTTTGGTTCTCTATACCTCTCATACGATGACGTAGTGAAAGGTGTTGTTTATTACCAAAAATCAACGCGATTTTCTAGCGACTTCACACTTACACTTTATTATACAAAATTTGAATGGGCTGTAGAACTGCATACTTAGAATTTTTCTAAAAAATCTGAATAAAAAGTTGCAAATGAGTGTGCAAATTTAATGAATTTTCCTGAGTTTTGCACAAAGTTTTGAGATTTTACTATTACGTATGTTTTCTGGTGTCAAATGAACAATATTTTTATAAAAAATTATCGAAAATAAATTAGAATAAACAACTTTGCATATATTGCGAAAAATTCACTGTGCCAATACTTCTGTTCGGCACTGTATATATCTTGGGTGTTTTAAGTTGTAAACTAAAATTTTAACAAAATGTCGCAATCCTAACTCAAGTATTGTTTTATAAGGTTTTATTTAATGGTGATGATCCTCAACGAACCTCATCGATCAGCGTTGTTCTCTTTTCGACCAGAGTCCTGTGTTGTAGAAATGCAAAAAACCGGAGATTATGTTATATGGAAAAAATGCCGCAAAAAACATAAAAAAAATCAACGCCAATTCTTAGCTACTTAAACTTTGCTTTTGTTGTTCTAAAACTTACAAAAGATATGAATAAAATGTTTGAAATTTTGTTCAAATTTTGTTTATAACATTTATGGCCTTATGCATAAAAAATAAAAAGCTCTATAAAGTGACATTTTCATCAAAAAATTTCGATTTATAAAGAAGTTAAAGTCTTCGTTATTATTTATGAATTTGTGTGTTAATCTTTTACATCTGCATTTTTTTGTTTTGGAGAAACCCTATAATTGTTATAAACTACGTAGTTTTTTATTATGTAACATTTAACAGTAGAATCGATTTTCTTCAACATCACAACTTACTATGTATGTACTTTGCACTAAATTTTTTTTATGCAAAACATTCATTTTTAAGCACCCGTTTTCAATCTCATATAAAAATTTAGGAGTACCGTTAATTTCTTCATAATTCAATAATCGGATTTGAGCCATATTATTATGGGACCACCACTGAGGTATCACCTTTGCGGTAAAAAAAATCGAAATCGGTTCAAGTGGTAAAAAAAAAATATTCCGACAAATTGACAGCCTTCTTTTTATGAAGTCGGTTAAAAATAAAAAAGGCGCAAATCTGGCTCGAAAAAAATCCCTTCTTAACTGCATTGTAAATTAATCAATTCAGTTGAAATATGTAGGCTCCTATAGGGAAGGGAGCAATAATAAAATTTAGCAAAACATTTTTTCTTGGGAATATTTTTAACCAGAACGGGTATCTTCTTTTGTGGGCTGATCAATCTTTGGACGTCTTTGTCCCACTTTTGTGAAAATTACAGTTAGAAGGCTAAAAAGTTCCACAATACTTTTAAGAATAAAATTTTACTAGGGGTTACCAGAGTCGAAATTTTTTTGCAGATTAAGGGGACGCGTAAGCACATAGGTTATGTTAGGTTAGGTAAGCGGGCTGCCTCCGCATATGGAGCACACTTGGACTCGACTGAGCTGTCATTGTGATGCCCTTAGAGGGGAGAGGGAAAAGGACACAGAAAGGCCGGAAAAGAGAGGGTTAATGGGTAGGGGAAAGAGGGGCGAAAGCTATGGGAGAAAGATGACACCTTTGGCTTTTTGCCGGAGAAATGCTCCGTGATTTTCAGTCGACTGATGTCCACTCCCGAGAGCTCGTCGGGAGTGTGGAAAAAGTGAGATCCAAAGAGCTCAAACCTTAGGCTCGCAAGGGCAGGGCACCAGAGCAGCAGATGTTGAAATGATTCCACCTCATCGTCCTCCATGCAGCTGGTGCAGTAAGGGTTATGCACGACATTCAGCCTTACGGCATGGTTACCAATCACACAGTGACGAGTAAGCAGCCCCACCAATAGTGTGAGATGCAGCTTGCTTAGTCTCAAGAGCTCCCCAGACCGCCTCCGGTCGACCCGTGGCCAGAAGGACTTTGCCACCTTGCACTCCAAGGTCTTCGCCCAGCGATCGCTGAGCTGACTAAACTCGCATCTGTTCAGAACCACACGAGGTCAGGGGAGCCCTCAGACCCGCCCTAACCGAAAGTAATTCCTCAATGGCCCCCTGCCTTGCGTGCACATCAGCCATGCACTTGCCAGCGATTTCGCTGTGACCTGGAACCCAAATAAGCTTAATAGCAAAATATTCAGACGCGATCGATAGAAAAGTCCAACACTCCCTCACCATTTTCGAATGCACCGTCAGGAAGCCAAGAGCCCTGAGGGCTGCTTGGCTGTCAGAATAAATATTTACAGTACCAGATGTTACACAAACCCGAAGCCTCTTTTATCGCGGCCACCTCGGCCTGGAAAACACTGCAGGGATCCGGTAACATAAATTTTCCCGTTGATGGAGAGTCCTTCGCAGAAGACATCTCTACCCACCATCCCATCTATAAATAAGTTTACAGATCCTCGATTCCAGATACTGCACCTCTCCCAGTCTCCCCTCGCTGGAATGTGGGGGGTAAAAGATCCATTCGGGCCCAGAACCAACAAGCAGTGGTCTGTCCGAGTCGGTAGGAACCCGAAGCCTTTTAGAATTCTGGAGTGCCCATAGCTTCTTGAGGCGAACTTAAAGCCCACCCCACTTAGCCTTACTGCGGCGCGCGCAGCGGCAACCCTGCTAGCTATATAGGCACAACATTTAAGCCCAAGAGTAGGCGCGGTTCGAAAGGCCCCATTGATTCCAATTAAGGTGGTTCTTTGCGCCTCCTCCAGCTGCTTGACAATGTGGGCCTTGTCAAGTGCGTTCCACCAGACGAGTATCCCATATATTAAGAGCGAGAGGCTCCTCGCTTGTCAATGGCCCCTCTACAACAATGCTACTGTAGGCTTCCTGACTCTTTCCTCCACGTTAGGTTTACAGGAAAGCTTACTATCAAGGATCAAGCCCAAGTCCTTCACCCTGTCAGAGAGCCTTAGAGGAAGACCACTCATTGAGGGAAGACGGCAGTTGCGTCTTCTACCTCCTAGTAAAGAGAACAAGCTCCGTTTTACTGGGATTTAAATCCATCCCGCAGCTAGAAGCAACCACCCGACAGCCACTTCTTTCCAGAGCCACCAGCAGGTCATTGATGACAACGACCCAAAGCAACGTAAAGGCACCGACCGCAGATTCGACTAAGCCCCGCACCAACGGAAGGTGTCTGTCCTCGCGAAGCGTAAGCACATACTATTTCATTGAAAATTACACAATTTCTACTCAAAACCCTCTATAAAAATAATTGTGATGCGATAGGGCAAAATCCTACAAGCGTTTGACCACCCCCTATTTGTAAGTTAGGTCCTACAATAACTCTTCGAAAAAAAAAACTGAGAAAGAAAAACCATCGACCACCCTTTTTTAGCCCCCCTGTGTTCGGCAACTCAATTTTTACATGCGCTGCGACTAGCCTCGCAGTGTTCAAAACAAAAATGGAAAAAATCTTCAGTTTACGAATTTTCGACTAGTATTTTACGAGTATAAAACAAATTTACTTTCTAAAAGTTTCTTTAACTTCACATATTTACTATTGTTTTTCCCCTAACAGGCAAAAAGGCACAGCGAATTCATAAATGATGTTTCGGCGAGTCGGCAATGACCGCAGTCGATGCGCCAAAGGCGTCACATGCAAGTCGATTGTCGCGTGACAACACCACATTTTTGTCGTTTACTAAATCCAGGACCAGGTGTCGGCCGTAAATATTAATTTAAGGTAAATGTAAGAAAAATAGGAATGTATATTCATAGTAGCTACAAATTGATCACAACAGCAGAGACAAAAGTCCAAAAAAATGGCGTTATATCACTGTTAGTTTGTAAGAGTAAATAAGAAAATGTGAACGTAAACACTTTTTATACAATAAGTACATATATAACATACCAACAACAACAATATTAAGTCAACTGTAAGAATTACATATATTTTATAGGTATATACTATACTTATGTATGTACATATACATACCTACCAGGTCCATATCTGACTCCCTAAAATACCTCCTAACGGTACATAAAAATAAAGTTTTTTTGACCTTTCTATACATATGTATATAGATATGTATGTATTTTGGGCACAAAAACATAGTGGCACGCAAATTTACTTCACACTAAGGGTCGTTTTCTTATGTAACCTTTAACTTTAAAGCTGACTTTATATTTAAAGTTTACATTAAAATTTATGGTTATGTCTAAAGTAAAACATTTTATTATCGGTTTTAAATTGGTTTTCAATCAAGAGAAATATGTACATACGTCAAAAACCGATAATAGAAATGCTTTATTTTAGACATAGAAAGTGAGCTTTAAATTAAAGGTTACTTGAGAAAACGGCCCTAAAAGGAATATTTTATGGGTACATAAATGCTTTCAATACAATTTGGTATGCAAGTTTTGTTTTCTGGTGCATTTTGCCACAACGAATAGTTGGATTGTTGCGGAGAATTACAAGCGTTTATCAGACATTCTTGATAGGGTTGAGAGGTTGGAACAGTTTCCGGGCCGTGGAAAAATGCGGAAATTTGTATTAGTTTTTTTTTGTGTGGCCAGATCTACTATCCTGCATAAAAATGTATTTGTATTCTTTCTCTCTGTTTTGCTTAAGGTAGGAGTTGAACTACTCCTTTAACACCGTTTGTTTTTACCCACGTTGTGCTGCTCCTTGCAGGAACAGTAGTTGCAAAAATATTTCCTTTGATGTTGGAATAAGTTTTCAAATTATTGTAAAATTTTTCGTACTTATAAATTTAAATACGTTTTCATACCGTGTTAATTGTAAGTTTGATTGTTTTACAATTGGAAATAGCAATTTCTACATATATAGAAGCAAGTGATATCCTATTGTGACCATGTTTACTTTAAATGACGATTTGATAAGTCAGTGACGGTTTGAATAAGATATATATATTTTCGGTAAAAAGGTCTCCTTTTAGCTGGATACATTTAGTGCGCCGTTTTCCAATTCGCCTTTTCTTTCCAAATAATAGGTTTCCTTAAGGCCTTCAAAATAAGCGTTTGTTTCATTCGCCCCAAATCTCTAATCGCCTAGCCATTTTTTTAGGTGTGGAAACAGGAAATGGTCGCAGGAGGCTAAATCCGGGGAACATGTTGGATGGGGTGGAATTTCGTGACCCAATTTACGGATTTTCGCCAATGTTACTATATACGTTCATAACACGAACGCGCGCTTCCTGACAAACCATATATGGATTTGTTTATCGAAACTACTTTATTGGAACCATCTGAGTTGCCTTCGGGCTACATAAATTTCATTCCTAACCTTGGCATTACGAAAAGCTGTTTCTACATCGGTTTTTTCGTAACTCCATTACACCCATACCTAGATTTCCCCTCTTTAAAAAGAGCTTAATTTTACAAAAAAAAAAAAACATCTGAGTAGGTACATAAGCCTGTGCGCTGGAACTTTACGTACGCAGTCATAAAACAATTCGTAACTTCTACAGTTTAGGTTTCTCTATCTTAAAATTTTTACAGTGCACTCAATAAAGTTTGGAAACTATTTAGATTGCAAAGAAAACAAAAATAAAACGGTGCATGATTAAAAAAAATATATATTAAACAAATGCAATTTTTGAATGCAAAAAATTATTTATTTAAATCTATCTCACATTCATAGGGAAAGCCGAGGTAATTACCCACATTTTGATTACCTTTATGTAGTTTATTAATTGCAAAACATTGAACGAAAGATACGAGAACTTTTCTGTGAGTTCAAAATTTTGGAATTTTTTTTTCCAGATTTTCGAATACCATGATGGAATAAAAAATAGGTGTCTTCTTTCTGTCGATAAAGAATGTAAAAAAAACTTTTTTCACACGAAAAAATGTTGGGGTAAATTTTGCATTGAATGACCGACCCGACCCATATGTATGTAGTATGTATACCACGTAAATTAAAAATTAATGTACGAGTAATTATTATGGACTAGACAATTTCATATCTGGATTTAAGGACTGAAAATAAATATATGTACGTTACTCGCAAAATTGAGCAAAGCACATTTAAAACCAAGAATGAAACTGAGCGCATTAAATTTTNCCTTTTAGCTGGATACATTTAGTGCGCCGTTTTCCAATTCGCCTTTTCTTTCCAAATAATAGGTTTCCTTAAGGCCTTCAAAATAAGCGTTTGTTTCATTCGCCCCAAATCTCTAATCGCCTAGCCATTTTTTTAGGTGTGGAAACAGGAAATGGTCGCAGGAGGCTAAATCCGGGGAACATGTTGGATGGGGTGGAATTTCGTGACCCAATTTACGGATTTTCGCCAATGTTACTATATACGTTCATAACACGAACGCGCGCTTCCTGACAAACCATATATGGATTTGTTTATCGAAACTACTTTATTGGAACCATCTGAGTTGCCTTCGGGCTACATAAATTTCATTCCTAACCTTGGCATTACGAAAAGCTGTTTCTACATCGGTTTTTTCGTAACTCCATTACACCCATACCTAGATTTCCCCTCTTTAAAAAGAGCTTAATTTTACAAAAAAAAAAAAACATCTGAGTAGGTACATAAGCCTGTGCGCTGGAACTTTACGTACGCAGTCATAAAACAATTCGTAACTTCTACAGTTTAGGTTTCTCTATCTTAAAATTTTTACAGTGCACTCAATAAAGTTTGGAAACTATTTAGATTGCAAAGAAAACAAAAATAAAACGGTGCATGATTAAAAAAAATATATATTAAACAAATGCAATTTTTGAATGCAAAAAATTATTTATTTAAATCTATCTCACATTCATAGGGAAAGCCGAGGTAATTACCCACATTTTGATTACCTTTATGTAGTTTATTAATTGCAAAACATTGAACGAAAGATACGAGAACTTTTCTGTGAGTTCAAAATTTTGGAATTTTTTTTTCCAGATTTTCGAATACCATGATGGAATAAAAAATAGGTGTCTTCTTTCTGTCGATAAAGAATGTAAAAAAAACTTTTTTTACACGAAAAAATGTTGGGGTAAATTTTGCATTGAATGACCGACCCGACCCATATGTATGTAGTATGTATACCACGTAAATTAAAAATTAATGTACGAGTAATTATTATGGACTAGACAATTTCATATCTGGATTTAAGGACTGAAAATAAATATATGTACGTTACTCGCAAAATTGAGCAAAGCACATTTAAAACCAAGAATGAAACTGAGCGCATTAAATTTTTGTATAATAATGGGCAAATTTCAACTGTCTAAAAGTTCGCGTTGATTTTTGAGAATTTTTTTTTTTGATGACTGTCCTACGCATTTTTTCCATATAAGCTTATATAGTTCTCAAGAAANAATACAATAAGGGACAAACTTCAACTGTCAAAAAATTCGCGTTGATTTTTGAGATTTTTTTTTTCTGACTGTCCTACGCATTTTTTCCATATAAGCTTATATAGTTCTCAAGAAAAGCAAAAACTCCATATAAAATGACGCACAAGAAATTTTCTTGTGTCAAATTTCCTTAAGGCAGTACGCAGGTTCTTAAGAAATTTGCTTCGCTTTCTACTACGGTTTTCGAAAGTTTTTTTTTTTTGTGAAAAAAGAGCACAACGTAACGCATGTTTGCAACAGAAATATATGCCCGTTTCATTATTTCTTAAGGAAAGAGCGAGGCAACAGGCTGTGAAATATCAGATGTCAAAATTCCTTGGTCACCCACAAGAAATAAGGGAAAATTTATATGAAAAAAATACGTAGGACAGTCAGTGAAAAAATTCGCAAAAACCAACGCGAGTTTTTAGACATTTGAAATTTGAACGTTATTGTACTAAAATTGAATGGGCTATAAAATCGCATACCTCAATTTTTTTTAGAAATCCTTATTAAAAAGTTTGTGATTTTGTTTATACTTTGTAGGGTTTTTTTTTAATTTTCGTACACAGTTTAATTTTTTCATTTAGCATGTAAAACATTGCGAATATTAACACAAAAAAAAAACGTAAGCTCAATTTTGTGAATAACAGTACATATGTACATATGAAAATTATTTGATATCAAATGTAACATTCAAGCAAAATTGTGCGAAAGTTATTTTCTTGTTCAACATACAAAGGTACCGAATTTACAAAAGACATACAACACAACAATAAACGCGCTTTAATAAATTGATAAAAATAACAACTTAGAGAAAAATTAAAATACGTATTGAAATTATATGATTCTATACAAAAATAGGATATATGTATGTACATATGTACATAAATACAGTATCGGTCATATCAATAGCACCCCCATTGCAAAGTGATATTTTTTGCTACTTATGTTTATTTATTTATTTTGAAGAACTTTCAGTTTTGTTAGAGAATGAACTGTATTTTAATTGGAAATTCTTAAAAATTAATAACTAAACATAAGTGGCAAGCAATATCACTTTGAAATCGGGGTGCTATTGATATGATCGATACTGTATGTAGTTATGTGTACATAAACCTTAAACTTGGAATATAGTACGTATGTATGTATGTATATGTAAATATGTACATTGCATGAATAGCTTTAAAGGTGAACGAAAAGATCAAAGACGATTATCCAATAAGTCTTCTCAATAGAAGTTCAAATAGAAAATTTTATTTTGCGTAAATACAAAATTGCTTAGTTCTATTCCTAAATTGTAATTTTTGATCTTTTCGTACGATTTTATAAGACTATCGCTTAGTATTGGTCAAGACTAGTATATTTAGTGTATATGTAAATGAGATTAGCTCCGTTAAAGATGAAACTTTTATATTTTATTAATTCTCAATCTACCCTACTTATTGCTGTCGTCATTCGTAGCGAGTTGCTGTTGGTTGCGCATGGGGTCTCAATGCAGCATCAGCACAATCGAAAAAATACTTTATTTGGCTAAAAATAAAAATAAAATAATCGATTAATTAATCATATGATTAATCACAAGTAAAAAAAAATTAATTGGAATTAATTGCAATCATTGAGAAATAATCGATTAATCGAATTTTTAAAGGCACTTATTTACAGTGAGTATTCACAAAAGGCGGAGAAGCTCGGCCAAATAATAATAATTATTATTATTATTAACAAAAACACTTTTTCATAAACAACTTCTAAAGTTTTGTGTAAACAGTTTTTATTTCCTTAAGGTCGACCAACTTGCCTACATACGGCTTATTTACAACCACCAACTTCTAGTTTTTCACCAACTTGTTCGCCGA